TCCTCCCCTTCAGCCATCTATCCACCAAAATGGTTTAATTACTTCCTGAACACTCGACAGATAATTAGAAGGCAGCATTCAGACCAAAAATTTAAGCCACCCTATTCAATCAGGGTAAAATTGTCTGATCAAGAAGCTAATTAAGAATCAAGTGTAGTGGCTCTTATTGAAAAGAGGTAGTTTAAGGCTTCAAAAAACCCTGCTTCTCACTCCCTGAGGCCCTGTCCACTCCATCACCACCAAGGCTTCATTAGTCTCCAGGAACTGTTAGCTGCCCAAACCTCACCCATGCTCTGTCCTCGAAGGGCTTGTGATCTAGGGGAAAGAGCATAGCAGGGTTCCAACAAGGCTTCTGGAATAAACGAACAAAGGAATACTACAGTGCCAAGGTACACAGGATGTGTTCAAAAGGTCGGAAGAGGTGATGAGCGTTGGCACATTGGGAGAGGTGAGAGCATGGGTAATTCCTTGTCCGGAATCAGAGACTCAGGCAGGCCGATCAAAGTGGTCAGCTGAAGATTTATGAATTCCCTAAAATTATCAGGACAGTATGTGTGTCTGTCCCCCCCCCCCCCCCCCCAGGAAGATGGTCCTTAGCTTTCATGAGATCCTCAAAGGGGTACATACGTTAGGATCTCCTGGGCTGCAGGGAGACTGTCTGTCCTTCGGCGAACCCTTGAAGACTTGTACCAAGTGCAGTGTCAGGAGCTGTTGGAACACTGGAGAAAGAGGGGCGGTGGTAGGTGTCTTCCTCCTAGAAGCACAGCGTGTTGGAGGCTGGAGAGGCTTTGAGGTGTTCCCATCCAGTCTCCTCGCTTCGCACCACGGAGGCTGGAGTCACTCGTTGCTGTTCGCTCCTGCGTCAGCACTTACCCGCAGGGGCCACGCCAGCCGCCCCTAGATTTACAATTGCTGAAAATCCCATGGTGCCACATCCCCAATCACATCACTCACCATCGCGGGGTTCCGCCTCCGAGACCACCCTCACAATCTGGACAATCCTTCCGTTCCTGTTTTGCTCACCCCTGAACCAGCCCCATCTTCCCAGCCCTTCTGTTGTGCCCTCTGCACCTCGTGGTCCATCTCCGGCAGCCTCTTCACTGAGGTTACTTTCGTCTTCCCTTATCTGCAACCTGTCTCCCGGGGGCGGTGTTTCCCGCACGGCTGCTTTCTCTCTCATACAGGATTCTGTGGGGTCCGGAGGGGCTCCGTGACCTCCTTGCTCCCCATGACCAATTCCAAACCACCTCTCTTCCTTTGTCGTTCAGAAGCCCCACCCCTTCGCAGCACATGTCGTCATATGTGACCACCCCTTTCCTTTCTCGATGCTGTTGGCTGCTGACCACCTACACGCATTCCTAATGTGTCTGGCTCCCTCCCACCGGTCTTGCCTTCAGCATCTCTGTAGATCAGTGGTTCTCAGCCGAAGTGGTACCATCCCCTGGTGGAAATTTTGGAAATGGATGAGATTTTTTTTTTTCATTTGTTTCCAAACGTAGTTGTGCCCCAGCATTTATATTGAAATTTAAAGAGTTTTGTTATAAATGAACCTTCCCCCGCTTTTTAGTTTCTCGGTAGGGCATTATATTATTTTTTTTAAAAAAAGCAACCATAGTGTCTTATCTTATGAATCTCATTTCAGGATAAGAAAGGGGATATTAAAATATATTTGTTATAAAAAGAGGGCATTTGGTCTGATAGCACGGAGGACGGCCGACGCAGATAGTCTGTCTGACTCTTCATTGCTCCGAAGTCCTTTCCTCCAGCCCACCTCGGCCCCTCAGTGCGCACCCTCGGGAGCTTGTCCTCACCAAGAACCACACCACTCGCCAAATCTTTGAACATCTCACTCTCTGATTATCCCCCGCCCCCAACCTCTGTAGTTTACTGATTCTTTGGCTGATGTATGGAAAAGGGAAGGGAAACAGTTGACTTCTAGAAGCTGAAAAGGGCAATTCTCCAACTTCATAGACCTTTTGTCATTGACCCTAAAGCTTTCCTTTTCCCTTATTCTTTATTCATTTTGTGTCTTCACTTCTGTCCTCCCAGCCTAGCCTCCATGGGCCAGTATTAGCTACTCCCTTGTAAACACTCTTAATTCCCACCCTCCCTCCTGTCTTACTTGCCTGCAGAAACAGTCTACACTCATTACATTCAGCTCATCTTACCCCGCACATGCACCTAGCACGCAACCGATGGTGTAGAGAGAAATCACACAACCAGTGACTATACTCACTTCAAACTTACGACTACAAGTTTCAAATGGGCACCCAACACCATCAGGCAATTCTGCCACACCTCCCTGTAAGTTCACTCTCCCGCTTCCGAGATCATTATTTCCCACTTTCTTTTTCTCCACACACTGTCAATCCTTCCTTCTTATCCCTTCCCCCTTAGCTGATGACCTCATGGAAAAGAGAGGTGCACTTGGATGAGAACCACCTGGTTTTCCCACTTTCACGTCTATCCTCTTACCTTCAAGGTGCCAACCAAGCCAGTGGTCACTCATTTCACTGACCTCTCAACAGCACTTCAAAGAGTTGTCACCCTCTCTTTCCTGAAACACATCCTGCTCTAGACTCCTGGGTCTCCACCCTTGCTGGTCTTCCTTCTGCACCATTCACTGCTCCTCCAGAGCCTCCTTTGCTAATTCCACTTCCACTAACTCGCCACCAAACCTCTACACATCAGAAGCCCCGAGCTCTGTCATCGCCTCACCCAGGCGAGCTGGGCCGTTTCCAAGGCTCAGATTCCACCTCTGCACTGAGGACTTCTGTCTCCAACCAGACCCCTCTCCAAGCTTCAGACTTATATGTTCAACTGCCTTGCTGGTCCTGATGTGAGATTTCTATCAGACATCTTAAATTTGCCATGAATAAAATATAACTATCACTGTGCCTAAATAATGGTCTGCAAAGACAACCAAGTCATAATCCCTGGAACCTGCTAATGCTACCTTATGTGGTAAAAAAAAAAAAAAAAAAAAAATGCTCCCAGATGTGATTTATGTAAGAATCTTGACAATGGGAGATAGCCTGATGATTTATTCAGGTGGGCGCAATGTAATCACGGGGTTCTTATAAGAGGGATGCAGAGGGAGACTCGAAGACAAGAGTTGTAGGGGATGTGACAGTGGAAGGAAGAGGTGGACGGAGGCAAGGAAGAAGCAAGGTGACTTCTGGAAGCTGAAGAAGGCAATGGATTCTCCCCTCAAAGCCACCAGAAAGACCCAGCCTGGCTGACACCTTCAGATCAGCCTAGTGACACTGATTTTAGTCTTCTGATCTCCAGAACTATGAGAATACATTTGTGTTATTTTAAGCCACTAACATGTGTGGTCATTTGGTACAGCAGCCGTAAGAAACTCATGGTCACTGCCACCACCACCACACAAAGCCATACCCCTTACCCTTGGGCCTTAAAGATCTCGGTAACTGGTACCACTACTGAATGCTGAGGCCGAAAGCTTCCGAGTCGTTCAGATTTTTCTCTGGACTCACGCCTCCCCTGCCAGCAAGTCTTTCCGCTCTGCCCCGCACACATCCCGACTCCAGAGATCTCTCACATTCCACTGCGATCACCCTCGTCGAGGCCACCATCACTTCCTGCTTGAATCATTACATACTTCCTGCTTGAATCATTACATCACTTCCTGCTTGAATCATTACATCACTTCCTGCTTGAGTCATTACATCACTTCCTGCTTGCGTTTCTGCTCCTACTCCGGTCCTCCTCAGTTTATTGTTTCCGAGGAGCCAGAAGGAACTTTCTGAAGGCTAACTCAGATCACATTAGTCCTCCTATTAAACCCTTCTATGGTTTCCCATTTTATGCAGGATAGAATTTAAGTTCCTTGCCATGGCCTACAAGGCCCCTTGTCTCCCTGCCCTTCCCCACTCATTCACTGCCCCCTGGCCACACTGACGTCTTCTCTGACCCTCTGCATTCATTCCCACCCCCTGGCCTTTGCACATGCGTTTCCCACCACTAAATGCTCTCCTTTCAGATCTTTGCATGGATCCTTCCTTCTCATTATTTAAGTCTCAATTCAACTATCACCTCCCATACCCCTCTTGCTAAACAAGACCTTCAGCATCTGCAGCCAGGGGCTATTTAACCCTATGTTATCTTCCTCGTAGCATTTCTTCAGTTCCTGAAATAGTCCTACTGACTGGTTTACATGCCTGTTGTGTGTTTCTCTGCTACAATGAATGTAAGCTCTCTGAGGGCAGGACTCTGCCTCTCCGGCTCACTGCAGTATCTCTAGTATTTGACGCACAGTAGGTATGCAATTAATATTTATTTGCCTGATTGTCTGACATGGCTTATTCCTGACTCTACCTTACCACTGGCCAATATAACTGCGTCAGTGTTCTCTCTCCCAGGGGTGTATTTCAGCAGTGCTGGGCTATTTGCAATCAGTGGAATGTCAGACATCATTCCGCAGGTATAGAATGACCATGGGATTCTTTCATGGTGCCTTTGAGAACATGATTCATTCGACATCAGCTAAGTACTGGGGGCCATGGATACATGGAGGGGGGAAAATGCAGGGTGGGGCAAAAGTAGGTATACAAAAGTGAGTACTCAAAACACAGAGTTGACTCTTGTATTATTATTTATTAATTATCATATTCTTTTCCACATGCACAGTTGTAAACCTACTTTTGACCCACCCTGCATTTATATGACGCCTCCATGGACAGCAGGTTTGGATTTTTGTGAAGCCAAGATGTGGGTGGGTAGGTAGAGGTGGCAGAGGGATCCCATAGAGGTGCTCAGCTATTTCGTGGACCTGGTGTGGTTTGTACCCATCGAAGGTTCGCGGAGCCTGGGGATGTAGGGATGGGAACCATGAGACTCAAAGCTGAAAGGTAGGTTTGAAAAGAACAAATCAGACTATACACGTCCAGCTTTCCCACACCGGTATCCGCTTATAATTGAAGGGCGATCATAACTTGTTCCCCTTACTTGGCCTTGCTCTTCTCCCTGCTGCCCAGGTCTCATCATCCATGAGGGACCCTCCGTGTACCGCATCTTTAAACGGTGGCAGGCTGTCAACCAGCAATGGAAAGTGCTGAACTATGACAAGGCAAAGGACCTGGAGGATCAAAAGTCAGGAGGCAGGACAAACCCCCGGACCTCCTCGTCCACCCAGGCCAATGCCCTCTCCTCGGAAGAGGGGGCTGTGGACACCCCCGCCCCTGAGGAAGGCCCGGCCCGGGCAGCCAGCCAGCCCTCAGGCCCTGTGTCTGATCACCACTGTGCTTACACCATCCTGCACATCTTGAGTCACCTGCGACCTCACGAGCAGCGGAGCCCCCAGGCCGGCAGCCGGGAGCTCGTCATGAGGGTCACGACAGTGTGAGGACAGACCTGGAAGGGAGGCGTTGACCGCGCACAGGGGGGGAGGGGCCCGATGGAATGCTGGTCTGGGGAGCAGGTGTGGGAGGCCAGGTGGCTCCCCAGGGGCCAGGGCAGAGGGTGGGGGCCTTCGGGGGTCTGGGGGCAGGATTGGAGCTGCAGTGAGGGACGCTGGTGTGGTTTCGTGTTTCCAATTAGTCAATTTTGTTCTCCAACAAGAGCAAGGAAAACCAATACAAACAACCACAACGTGCAATGCAGACGGAGCCCAACACAACACGGCCGCCACGTGGGCCTGAGCACCCTGCACAAAACACCTGGGAGAGGCGGGGCTGCAGAGGGCGGAGCCGAGGGAGGACAACTGAGGAGGGTGCAGGAGGGAAGCACCTGTGGCCTGCCCTGCTGTACCCTGGAGTTTGCTTGGGTTTCCTCTGGCTGTGACCCACGGCGGTGCGGGGAGGGGAGGGAGAGGGTCGGGTGAGGACAGGCAGGGAGGACACAGCTTTTGCAGTGCTGGGCTAACCTGGATGAGTAGGATTTCTAACTGCAATGGCTTAGGGACTCTGGGTGGACAGTGTAGGGAGGGAGCCGTTGGTGTGAGCGGCCAGAGGGGGACTTGCCTCCCTTCCAAACCTTCCAAAGAGGAACTCCCAATTTCAAGTGGGCTCAAAGAGGGTTTAGGTTTGGAGATGGATGTCTTTTTGTGCCCTTGTGACTTTATTTTATGGTGATTTGGCTCAAAGATGTTTACAGGACACACACAGACACACACGCACACACGCACACGCACACGCACACACACAACTAGAGAAAAGTACAGATTTCCCGTGGGTATCTCAAGCACAGTCCTGCTACTGTGGCTTCAGCCTTCAAAGCTGTCAATCCAGGAGGGACTTTCCCTACTACCCACCCCTGCTTTGCGCCTCCTGCCTGGCGCCTCCTGCCTGGCGCGTGCTAAGAGCTGCCGCAGAGGGGGGTGGGCTGGCCGGAGGTGTCCCTGCCGGGGGAGTGGAGACCAGGCTAAGTGGCCCTTGCTGTGGAGGCCTACCCGAGGGCAGCTTGGCTGAGCCCTCAGTGCTAGTGTCCCCTGGTCCCGGAGCACAGAGGCAGGGAGCACTGTCCCTCAGCCCGCCTGCTGGCTCCTGGGACCCTGCCAGGGAAGGCCACTGGGTGGCCACCTGCAGAGTTTCTTGTCATTGCACAATGGCTGCGTCATCCATGGGTATTCAAGGGACACTGTCAAGTACTTTTTTAAACCAGTTTTTAGGGTTTTTTAAAACTCTCTGTTGTTTGTATTATTCTCTTAAAGGCTTGAAAATAAAATTTCTTTCCCTACCACGTGTCATTTTCCATAGGTGCACTTTCCTGCCTCTGTCCTTTCCTGCCTCTGTCCTGCCCTCCCCGTCCTGCCCTCCCCCTGTCCCGTCCTCCCCCTGCCCCGTCCTCCCCCTGCCCCGTCCTCCCCCTGTCCTGTCCCGTCCTCCCCCTGTCCTGTCCCATCCTCCCCCTGTCCTGCCCTCCCCCTGTCCTGTCCTCCCCCTGTCCCGTCCTCCCCCTGTCCTGTCCTAACCTCTGTGGTACGATCCTGCCTTCCCGCACCCTTGTGTCTTTCCCACCCCAAGCCTCCTCCACAGCAAGAAATCAAGTGTTTGTATCTCTGCGCTGATGGTTCAGAGGGGGAAGAGCCGGTGTGTGTGTGTGTGTGTGTGTGTGTGTGTGCACGTGCGCCTGCTGTGAAGCCCTGGGCTCCCTGGCAGGTGGATTCCTTCAAGGCCACAAGAACAACCCCCAAACCCTCCCCGCTTTCTGCCCAGGAAACCCAGAAGAGAGACCAGGGTTGGGAGGAAGTCCGGAGAGTTTCACCCAGCGGGCCACTCTGCGGAGACGGGGACAGCCACAGGAGGGGTGAACGTGCCGGTCCTCATTCCCCTGACACCTGTCCTCTGAAACACCAGAAACAGCCCCCGGGTCAGGGTCCCAAGAGGAGGCTCGGACACACGAGGCAGCCGACAAGCGCTTTCCTCCCTTTACCCTGACCTGGGCCTCCTTCCTCAGGGCCGGGTGGTCGGCAGCGTCACCGCGGGACGCGAGCCGCTCAGGACGCTCCTCCCTGAGGGGCATCGTAGTCGGTGAGTAACCAAAGGATGCACACAGGCAAAACACGTAAACAAGTGAGAGCCAACACCACCATCCAAGTCTTCCCGATGGAGCAAAGGTGTGTATTTTCCTATGTGGTCTCAGAACAGGCCATTCAGGTTAAGTAAATATTTATGGAAAATATAGATATCTTACACAGACCATCTATTTTCAGAAAAAGGACTAGAATGCAACAAGGTGCATTTCACACCTATAGCGACCATCGAGTTGTCTCTGGTGACCCACGACACTTTTGAATCCGGCCATCATTCAGAATGTGCTGCTGAAGAAGAGGCGACTAATGAAGAATCCTCAGGAAACGCTACTTTGTTGCATCTTGATGACGGGAGCTCTAAGGCTGCAAAGGTCGGCCTGTCTTGTTTATTCCCATATATCCAGAATGCACAGCAGTACGTCAGATTGTAGGGGCTCCAGAAATATTTTTGGATGAATAAGATACTCCTGGGAGAGGATGGGACCACCTTCCACATGCAGGAGACATGCCTCCTCTTCTTTCCACGTACACCCTAGCTCTCAAGTTCAATGACAGCGAAGAAAAGGAAAGTCCTCTCTTGACATCTCCACCCAACAGGACAGTCGCTTCCCTCTGCCTTGGGAAATGGAGCTTCTGGTCCAAAAGTGAATGAATTGGGTTTTTATATTTTAGATGCACCTCTGGGGAGTGAGGGAGGAGTGCACCCTGAGGACCAGAGACCGCCTGCCTTTTCCAGTGTGCAGGTCACCCTCATACCACCAGACAAGTCCCGGCTCCCTGGGGGTTACCTGACGCAGAGCAATGAGAAGGGGCCAGGGAGTTCACCTGCATCTCACCACGAGCATGGCCCACGCGTGGGACACGATGCCAGCTGACACCTAGAGCTCCTTCCATGTGCCGGGCACCAAATTAAATACTTTACATGTATCAACACGCTCAGCACTCCCACGAATGAGGAAGTAGGCACCACTGTGGTTTTCATTTTACAGATGTGGACACTGAGGCAGGGATTAAGGAACCAGCCCATCTCCAGTAGCCGGGCATCCACGCAGGCCACCCAGCTGTGATTGTCACCAGTCCGTCCCACCCCTGCCGGGCAGCTGGAGCTAGTGTCAGGGACATCAGGCCAGTGCAGGGAGCTGATCATGGCAGAGGCCTGTAGAAAGATTTGGAGAAAGTAGAGCTAAGTAATTATAAACTATTTCTGTCCCCTACAAAAGAAAATAAATAAATGTACCTAAAAACTGATTTTTGACATTGTTCAGGTAACATCCTGGCTGAACGACAGCCTGTAAAACAGCAAGTTGGCTATATCTGGACACGGAAGAATCCTGACAAGACACTGGACTTACTTCAATCACATTTTTTATAGAGTACGGGCCAGATTCCATCCGGATCCCAGAGTCTTCTGCTTCTAGAAAAAAGAAGTAAAAACTTACCCTGTTCATCAGGACTAGACTTGGGCCCGGTTCCCAGCGAGCGGCGCAGAGCGGCAGGGCGAGGGTTCTGGTCATAGCCCACAGGCTCAGGAGGACCCCTGGCTCTGAAGCCTCGTCCCTGTCTATTGGGAGAATCAACACTGTCACCATCTTAGAGCACGGAACCACCCGGATCATAGAATTCTTATGAGAGAACTTACTACTAGTTCTCTGTTTTGCGCATGAGGTCCCACAGGAACAACGGAGGACGGGCACCGTCTGGGGAAGAAGAGGGAAGCAGGCTCGCCCTGTGTGCGTGCCCGCTGCCCGCTTCACCTTGCAGAGGGGACGATCTGCAAACAGAGCCGCCTCGGTGCCCGGTGCCGGCTGCCGGCTGCTGCTCTGCTGCCCTTCTGAGGCCCAGCGGGCAAGGAGGGCACAGCGCCCACGGGCGTCCACGTTCCCGCGGGCCCCTCCCCGCCCAGCTCACAACCTGCTGGCGCATCTGTTAAACAAGGAAGTGCACACTCAGGCTTTGTGTCTAATAATAGTGCCCTGTTCCCCGAGCACTTTGGAGAAATAAAATAGCTAGACATATAGTACGCTCCATATGCCAAGCCTCAGAGCACACTTTTCATGTATATTAACTTAGTTAATTCCCAAAACAACCCTACAAAGTTGGGAACTACCATTATTCCCATTTTTCAGGTGAGAAAACTGAGGCGCAGAGAGGTTAAGCCTGTTGCCCACGGTCACGTAGCCATGCAGAGCAAAGGTGGGGCTTGTACCGTAGCAGTCGGCTGCCACACGGCAGGACGCTAACCACTGCACTACACCGCTTCTCAGGAAAGGGGGCATGCATCTAAAAGTTTTCTCCCGATTTGAGAGGCACTGGCGCAAAATGAACGAGCCCCACACCAACTGGATGTCATCTGTTCCCAAAGTCAGCTAAGGTCAGCTCAAACCTCTCCACTCCTGGTCCTTTGGAAAGGAGGGTGCCCTCATTGGGACGATCGAGAATTCAGACCCTAAAACGTGTTCCAGTTCTTTCCTACTCCATTTCCAGAATCGCCTCCACTCAGGGTTTCCGCGTTTGTCTTACAGCAATTCCTTTATTCCAGCTCAAGGTTAAGCCCAAATGTTGGACATGATTCCTCCTCCTCGATTCTCCCTCCCATCCAAACTGTTACCACTGACAGGTGTGTACGGTATAGTTTTGCTGGAAACTTGGAGGTAACTTAAAGATTATTCATATAGCCCTGGTCGGTTTGGCTCAGCGGTTGGAGCGTCGGCCTGCGGTCCAGAGAGACCCGGGTTTGGTTCCCGCTAAGGGCACGTACCTCAGTTGCAGTTTGTCCCCAGCCCTGGTTGGTCGTGCGGGTGGCAGCCACTTGATGTGTCCCTTTCACGGCAATGTTTCTCTCTCTCTATCTCTTCCTCTCTCTCCCTCCCACT